TGTGAAGGTTCGACTTTTTTTAAACCTTCACAGTGTTTTTGCTGTGAAGGTTACGTGTAAAAATGTGGTCTCACGGGTCTCACGAAAACAGGCTGGTCTCACGTGAACCCAACCCTATATATATATATATAAATCTAAGATGTAAGTTTTTTTAATGTTTAAAGGAACTTTCTTTGATTAAATACAATATTTTATCATGATTATTCTACAATAAAGTACGACATCGAACGACTGAAACCCCCCATCCTCATAAATTTCTGATACCAAACTTGTCTTAATACTTCATTTTGAGTTTTCATCTATCTCAAGATTAATCTCAATTATACAAACATGATTGATGACATTAAAACCACAAACAAAATTTTGTAGTGAACATTTAGAAATGCAAAATTTAAAATCAAAACAAAATATGGTCTTGAATTGGTGAATTGAGCTGATACAAAAGAGTTTTTGGGGTCGTTTTGTAAATTTACTATAAAACGAGGGTGTTTGTTTACTTTTCTGTTTCTCCATCGGAGGCATCTTCACTGTCGCTGTGCTTTTCTGCAAGTGTTTCTCCGATGGGTTGAAAATTCTCACACGGCGGAGACTCAATCGAATCGAATCAAATCAAATCCCTAATAGATCATATCACATCTGATCTGCCGTCATTTTGATCTCTCTCGCCGTCACCATGGCGGCCCTCAACGCTCCGATCACTATCAAAGAGGCACTTACGGTATATATCTCTCTCTCTCTCTCTCTCTCCATAAATCCTAGTTTCGTTTTGTACTTATTGGTACTCCTATCCTTCGAAACCTAGCTCTGCTTACGCAGTTTCGTCATTTTTGTAGCCTTTTGGACTGTTACCCTGGTGAATTCAAATGGCATAATCAGTTTTTGAGCTTCTTCGATCTCCTGTTTAGATTTGCTAGATTTGCATATATATCGCATACATTCACTCTATGTATATCATATATCTAAAGTCTAGTTCTAAATAGTTAAAACGCACTTAGATAATTCTCAACTTAGCTCATTTTGGTCAATTTCATCATTTAGGAACAACTTGGGTTTATTTAGGGTTAATTTGACTAGAAGTGATAAATTTTGCTAGCTTTTCATCATCGTATTGTTTGGAATTGCGAGATAAATGGAACCTCTATGTGGTATATTTCCAGATCCGTGGAACAAATTGATTGACATGTTTCTGAAAGCATAATTCACAGTGATCTACTTGTGCACTTGATTATTTCTCTGATTTTGATTTGTATGATATTGTTGCAGTTGCCAAGTATAGGGATCAACCCACAGTTCATTACGTTTACCAATGTTACAATGGAGTCTGATAAGTTTATATGTGTTCGTGAAACGTCACCTCAAAACAGTGTGGTGATCATTGACATGAGCATGCCAATGCAGCCACTGAGGAGGCCAATTACAGCTGACTCGGCTCTTATGAATCCGATTTCGAGGATTCTGGCTCTGAAAGGTACGATTTATTCTTTATTTGGCCATGGTTATGAATATAATTTGGTTGGTCGTTCATTTTGCCTTCTCTATTAAAATGGCTAACTGGCTTATCCTCTGATAAACAAATTGTGCTTGTATCTGTTTTTATGCTTTGGTGCAACTTGGCATCTACTGAACTATGGTTCTTACACGTGGATTATCTTGTTGTACTAGCATGCTTGCATGTCCAGTTCCCTAGTATTCTTAAAAGAAACACTAAATGATTGCCAAACGCAGAACCTGAACAACGTCTTCTGGCAATTATTTGAAAACTTTGAAGCATGTCAGAAAATTATTGATGTTACTACAGCTTTGCATACAAATCAAGCTGTAACACGTAATAAGGTCCTTCAAGAAACAGTGAGGTCAGTTTTAGCCATATAGCTAATCAACAATAACATTTTTGAAGCTCAATTTCCCGGGACTACTCAAGATCACCTACAGATATTTAACATTGAGATGAAAGCCAAAATGAAGTCTCATCAGATGCCTGAGCAGGTGACAAGTTTATGCAATAATATCATTCAGTGATTTGTAACTTYGCTACCTCTTTTGGCCAACACTGATGTTGATGGGATCTTATCACAATTCTATCTTCAGGTTGTCTTTTGGAAGTGGATTACACCTAAGATGTTGGGCATGGTAACCCAGACCTCAGTATATCATTGGTCAATTGAAGGTACACTACCTTTATATTTCCTGGAGTGACATTTCTTGATGTTTYCTTTCGTTGTWTGATGTGTAAGCTAGAGGCTATAACTTCTGAACRCWGCCATTCTCTCTCTTTGTATACAGGTGATTCTGAACCTGTTAARATGTTTGATAGAACAGCCAATTTATCGWACAATYRGATARTTAATTACAAATGCGATCCATCCGAGAAATGGTTGGTGTTGATTGGAATTGCTCCTGGCTCACCTGAGGTTTGCTGTTCTTTGGTTATGCTTGATTAGTTGATTATATTGAAAATCTTTCTAGTATTTGAAGATTATGTTATATGCTTATCTATGGTGTTCCAGTGGATTACTTTATCTTCCAGTGGATTACCTTCAAGGTTGGCAATTGATATATCCAGGACCATATTCAACATCATTTTATTTGACTTAAGCAGTCCCGGTCATTTGTTTTTTTGTGGGTTAGATGGCCTGTTCTGCACTCTGTTGAATCCAACTCATTGAATAAATCAAGACGACCATGTACAAATTGCACTGTTTTTGGTGATGAGTGCACATAAAATCTCTTATGATGTAGAATCCTATTGTGCTTTAATTGCTTGGTTTTTTTTTCTCGTTGTTTACCGCAGTTCAAGGTGTTTTTCATACTCTGGATAATCGTACAATGCTTTGTCAATTGACTTTTCTTGGATGTCATTTAATTGCAAGAAAAATTTATTTGTAGCCTTTTTGACTGCATGCAAATGTTTATGTGACGGACCCAATTCTCAAAGTTCTGACAAAGAAGGGAGTATAAGCATGGTTTAGATTGGTTTCTTCATTTGTTTCAGCTGTTTGCTTTCATTGGCTACTACATACATGCAGACATAATGCTGAGGACTGGTCCCCTTTTGATGTTTATCAAGATATTTTATATTGGTCCTTGTTGTTTGCTTCTAGTTTTAATGGAAATGGAAGTAGGTTTGTCTAGTTTATTATCTCAGTCGATAATGTTCTTTATCTGATTACTATCATATAAGGACATATTCTTCAGAAAARGAGATCCAACTGTGATTTCTAGGTGGACTTTTGGATGTCATATTATTATATTAACCTTATAACCTGGTTCAGTAATTTGGGTAAAAATTTCATTATATTTCATCTTCTTTATCCGTCAATTTTCTTTATTTTTTATTTGTTAGTTAACATAGAAAGTGGTGTATTGATTGCCAAATTTCTAGCTGTTATAACCTTTCTACATTTGTAATATTAACAGAGACCTCAGCTAGTCAAAGGAAACATGCAGCTTTTTTCTGTTGATCAGCAGCGAAGTGAAGCTATTGAAGCACATGCAGCATCATTTGCCACCTTCAAAGTAAGGATGTTTTCATTTATTATATCATACATGGAAAGGCATGCTTTCCCTTTTCACCTATTTATAAGTTAATGCCATCAATATTGATCAYATATTTGTATGTCTTGTACAGGTTCCAGGCAATGAGAATCCTTCGATTCTTATTTCTTTTGCAACAAAAAGCTCCAATGCTGGACAGGTTACATCAAAGCTGCATGTCATTGAGMTTGGTGCCCAGCCAGGTTCTATTCTCTTTGCTTGTCTTTTCCTTCATTATAGTTGCCTTTTTGTTTGATGTGTTTTTATTCTCATTCTTTTATTTAGCCCTGAAAAAGAAAAGAATCGAAGTTTTGGTTGATTGATGCTTCTCGTAYGCCATCGAACTAAAATGCACCAATCAACCCTAAACCTGGTTAAAGAAGCTCTTCTTTTGTGCCTGYCTCTCTAAATGTGTTCTGAGCCATACCTTTATGTATATGAGCTTCTGTGCTTGTGTGGTTAGAGAAATATATTCCTGTAGAGGTGTATCAATCAGGTTTGGTGCCTTGTGAAAAGCTGTTTTCATCTACATGCCAAAAATGTGTAGTGCGCTTTACCACTATATTTTTTGATGGTTTCTTCTCCTTTCTTGTCATTTTCTTTACTTTTAGTTCTCATCTTATATTTTTCCTTTCTCAATTGCAAATATTTGTTGCAGGGAAACCCTCCTTTTTTGATGGTTCCTTCTCTTTTACCAAGAAACAAGCAGATCTTTTTTTCCCTCCTGACCTTGCAGATGATTTTCCAGTTGCCATGCAGGTACCTCCTGTTTTTGTTGTCTTTGGAATAGTGGGCTGCAATATCATCTTAACATATTTGTTTTCCAATTTGCAGATATCCCACAAGTATGGTCTGATTTATGTCATTACCAAGCTGGGGACTCTATTTGTAAATGATCTTGGAACCGCCACTGCAGTCTATAGAAATAGAATTAGCCCAGATCCAATTTTCCTAACATCTGAAGCTTCATCAGTTGGGGGATTTTATGCTGTTAATAGTCGTGGACAGGTGTTACTTGCCACTGTAAATGAATCAACAATTGTGCCTTTTGTTAGTGGACAGGTCAGTACGAGCTTCCATTGATATGCTTATTTTGCTTTTTGGAATATGAATTCAATGTGTTATGGCAGTCAAACAAGCTGGAGCTTGCTGTCAATCTTGCCAAACGAGGAAACCTACTGGGTGCAGAAAATTTGGTAAACTTGCTTATTGATTCAGTCTTATTAGAAATTATTTCTTTCTTATGTCAATGTTTGGATCTTGGCATGAGCTCTCAAACTTTAGAGGATAGTTTGTAAGCATTATTTCATTTTTTTAGTTGCCTTCTGCTGTGAAGTATTCTTGCTATACTCTTGTAAAGCAGCATTGTAAGTGAACTTAGAAGTTCATGTTCGAATTATATGTTACAGCATAWGAAGTAGAAGTTAAATAATAAATGTCTTAAATATCAACAGTCATAGTCATTAAAATTAGACAATGCTAGAAATTGTGGCATCATAATCAAAGTCATACTCCGTTAGTAAGAATCTTACAGTCCTGAAGTATTATTTCAAAAATGGACAATTCATTCCATGGCAGGTTGTTGGTGGTTGCATTTACCGCCTCAGAACTGGATCAAGGTTGCCTTTTAAAACAATATGGATGCTGAATCCTCGTAAATTAGTTGCTTGTTCTTTTTTGGTAACTTGAGTAATATTATAAAATTTTCCACCGTGTTAGTATAATGATGCATATGACAGGGGTTAAGAGTGTTAGAGCAACTAAGAAGTTCAAACTGAAACCTTGATGTTTTATTTTAAATAATCTTTACCTGAAAAATACATCATCATAATGACCCAAACTAATATCAAGAGACTAACCCTGAAGAAAATGGTGATTGTTGTGCCCATGGCTTCATAAGAAGGAGTTTTTAGGTGATTGAAAAGCCAATTTGTGATTGATATTCCCATGGCTTCATGAGACTAACACCGAAGAAAATGGTTTTGAGGCCGATAGAAATTGTGTAATCATCACATCAATGTAAAACACAACAATTGCCTTTTTTTCCTCCCTTAGAATGAAGTTTTAGGCACTGACATTAACATGAAATTTACACTAGGGGTTCTGGAAATTTTGGAGATTGTTATTGAGATTTGAGACCAATAGTTGAGGTGGAAAATCATCTTCATATTGGCTTTTGCATTCACYGGAGCTCATAGAATCACAACTTAGCATTTACGAGTGTCATTGTTGTGGAACTAAAGGGTCTGAAGGAGGGAAGAGCAGTGGTTGTTAGAGTATCCCTAGCAGGCAACATTTAGATATTGTAGCAAGGGATGCTCAAACCATATCAAAGACTGAAGACGAAGTGGTACTTCACTAGGCTTTCCCTTGACCCAATCTTATCTTCACATGTTGTTCAGAAGCAACTAAACCAGATTGTCAGCCGACCTGTAATGTAATCTATAATTGTTTGCTTCATGTCTGTGTTGATTATTTAGCAATCTATGTGATTGGAACATTTTGTTTTGTCTGATTGGATACAATCAACTTTCATATGGAAATATATGAAAAATTGTATTTTTTCTTGTCAGTAACTGATTTTGACACCAGAACTCCAGAAGAGATAATAAACTGTGCCAAGGCTTTTTGTGATAATATGGCTAGTACTCACTGTTCACTGACTATGAACTGCCGTACTTTGTTCTAATCACCAATAAGTGCACATTAGTTATATACAGCCATCTTCCTCATGGACAGTTATTGACTACTTGACATTTGTGTATCTCAGGTTGTTCAGCGTTTCCAGGARTTGTTTGCTCAAACCAAGTACAAAGAAGCTGCTGAGCTTGCGGCAGAATCTCCTCAAGGCATTCTTCGTACACCAGATACAGTTGCAAAATTCCAGGTATCTACTTTTGCTAATTGTGTATAACCTCTGCATCCATCGTTGAGACTTCTAAATGACTTATTATTTTATTAGAATGATGGTTATTTGTTTAACCTTCTTTAACAGGTTAACCTTTGTGTATTTAATTGCAGAGCGTACCCGTGCAAGCTGGACAAACACCACCTTTACTGCAGTACTTCGGGACCCTTCTGACTAAGGGAAAACTGAATGCATTTGAATCTTTGGAACTATCTCGCCTAGTTGTCAATCAGAACAAGAAGAATCTTCTAGAGAATTGGTTAGCGGAGGACAAGTTGGAATGCAGTGAGGAACTTGGAGACCTTGTGAAGGTATAAAGTATTAAAGTTTACAAGGTTTTGTGTTTATTTGCATCAACATAATGTTCTCGTGTTGTTTACCATTTATCTTTCTTGAATTTCTAGACAGTGAACGATGATCTTGCATTGAAAATTTACATCAAAGCAAGAGCAACCCCGAAAGTTGTCGCAGCTTTTGCTGAGCGAAGGGAGTTTGACAAAATACTGATTTACTCCAAGCAGGTAGGTGCAAGTACAACTCATTGCTGTAAATTTTAGGTGTTGATGTACAGTGTACACTTAGACGGTCGAAGAAAATAATACGTTTTCCTTGTAAATAAAATTTAAATATACTTCATCTTGCCTTAAATCCTTATGAAATTTGTCCTGAACTGATGCAGGTTGGGTATTCACCTGATTATTTGTTCCTTCTGCAAACAATTCTTCGATCGGACCCACAGGTATTTAAAGCTTTTAGTAAATAGTATGCTTGTGAATGACTGAACAGCCCACAGAGATTATTATGTTAGTCCATGGGTTCATTTATTGCTCGTAAACCAGGCGTTGATTTGCTTAAGAATGTGTTTCTCGAACTTCGAGAATCTCAATTGTGATACCACAAATTTAAGTGCTTGGAAGTTAKATTGATAACATTGTTGCATTTTGCAGGGAGCTGTTAATTTTGCTTTAATGATGGCCCAAATGGAAGGAGGTTGTCCTGTTGATTACAACACCATTACAGATCTTTTTCTTCAGGCCTGTTCACCATCTTTATTGCATTTCCTCATTAGAATCTATAATATGAAGATAAATTACCTTCTCTCGTGCAAGTGAGGATCGATATTAGAAACAAATTTTAAATGCCGTTTATTCCATCTCTTCAGAGGAACTTGATACGGGAGGCAACAGCTTTTCTCTTGGATGTTCTTAAGCCCAATTTGCCAGAACATGCTCATCTCCAAACTAAGGTTAAATTTTGCTGATTCTGATGAACTACTATTTGGCCGTCAAAGATAAGCTGTAGACACTAATTTCTTTTTTTTCCACAGGTCCTTGAAATCAACCTTGTGACATTCCCTGATGTTGCTGATGCCATATTAGCTAATGGTATGTTCAGTCACTATGATCGGCCTCGGATTGCTCGACTTTGTGTGAAAGCAGGTTTTTTTTAGGAGGCTTAAGCCCAATCCTCAATTGGCCCATAATTAGCACCCCATCCCAAGTCTGCTTGATGCAATATTTGGCCCATATCCTGCTAAGCCCACAACCAACTGCCCAAGCTTCTGTGTGAAAGCAGGTCTTTATTGATGGAACACCCCAAAGCCTAAAGTGACTGGTCCAAAAACTTCTAAATCGTCTCTAACTAAAACTATAGTGGAAGTTATTGAAAGCCTAAGAAATTCACAGCTCTTATTTTCTATCATATGGGACGGGTTGTCACAAACTTCACAACTTAAATTTTTTGGCATCCTTGTCAAACCTACCCAACATTCCTTATTCATTGACGATGTGACATTCGCGTAAGTGCTCCAAATATCCCCTTAAGAACTTAAGATGCTCGATGAGGCTTGACCTACTATGTTGATGGTACAAAGATCTGACTCTGATACTATATGTAATTCCTAAAGCTCTAGCAATAGGCTGATCCAGTAACCTCCAAATCAACTTAAAACCATGGTGCACAACTAAGTTCTTAAAACGAGTTCACAAATATCACCCTCTATCCAAGTGGGATGGTTGTTACGCTTCTATGGTATTATAAGCAAACTATTGTGCCTCTCAATAATTTATGCAAATATAAACAATCTTCCCTCTTTATTGAACATGCATTTTCACATCGATAAATCTCGTGTTATTTACTTGCTTTCAGTAATTATATTGTATTGGAAAGTGTATGTTCTTTGGCTATTATTGTAAGGTTTGATACATCAGTGAGATTACATTTATTGACTCATATACAATTGTATCTGTATTGATTAGTGAGTGATACACAATATCTATTATTATTAGGCTTGGGATCATTATTCTTACTAGTATCAACAAGTTCATGAAAATTTAGTACCAAAACAATATAATTTGAGTATTGATTTTCTCTTTTTCAAATTGAATTATGGAATGTCGATACAAAAACGCCTTCCTTTGACTATTTGTATTATATTGGACAATTTCATTGTTTCTAGTTTGGGTCAACACTTTATAAACGTAAGGCTATTAAGAAGCTCATCCATGATGCATGGGTTTTAAAAAGAAGAATTTTATTCGTAGGTCACGAAATTAGAATTTAGAAAATGTGTTAACAGTTGAAAATGTCGTCTTGCATCAAAGGGCTTTATCAAAGCCATTTTCCTCCATCATTATCAAGTCATTTTGTAAGTTAGTTTCTTTCAACGAGTTTCACTCCTAGCCATTATTTAAGTCTTCTTTTCATCAAACTTTGTAATATTTTACGAATATGAAGGTGCAAATCATTTATATCTTCAATAAAGCCTTATAATCTTCGTCGTAAGTTTAAGCTTGCATCTTCAAGCAATCTCATGAGGTCTTCTCCATTGTTCTTACAATCAAAAGTGGTTTAAAAATATCAGTAGCATAATGCAAGAAAAAGTTTTGAAGTAAAAGTTGATATCATTAAGTTCAATCGTAAATGTTTTTGATATATGTATGAGAGGTGGGCATGACAGCTCGAAAACCGATTAAGGTCCATATATAAATTAGTTACATTTTGACTGGTTAAAGACCGGTTATAACCTCTCGATTCTTATCAGGTATGATTTTTCTTTTCAATGACCAATTAAGAGGTCGGTTATGGTTAACTGATTGAGGGCGGGCCTACGTATATCCAAGCGGGCTCCCATGCACCCACTCAACTTATTTTTCATAAGTATGATTTTTGTAGGTATGAAAGATGCACCCGCTAAACTTTGAGGTGTGCTTCATGATATTAGAGAATATAAGGAACATCAACCAAAAAACCGAAAAAAAAGTACCAAAAAATTAACCCAAAAAGTCTTTCAAAATCAACAAAAAACGAAAAAATTCCTCAAAATCGACCAAAAAACTTGAAAGTTCTTCGAAATCAACCAAAAACTTAAAAACTCACTCGAAAAGGTGTTAGCCTGAAGCATATCAAACAACTTAATGGGCCTTTGATCTACTTTAAACTTTAAAGGTGCAACCATTCGGCAAAAGTCTTAGGTCCGCCATTGAATCGATTATGGCCAAAAAAGGTTTCTTACATAAAAGCACTACATGTTGTTCTCGCATTATTCAGAGGACCGATTATAGTCGCGCTTAAGGACGGGTTAGACTGGTCCATATTAGCCAATTAAAAGATTGAGACTGATAATACCGTAACTAGTTATGTGGTTATGTTTTTTAAAGAGGATCGGCTATGACCATGTATGTAGGTGCTTATTTGCTAACATTTGTAACAATTTCATAATATATTTTTTTGAACATCATGATTGGTGTTTTGATTTTACAAATAAATTACGTTTTATATCTCTTTATATAAAAGTAAGAAATGACATGACACTGTGTGGATTAAGAATTCCAAAATATTGAATTGTGATTAACTTTAGCGATCCATATAAAGATTAAGGAGAAGGATGCCAATTTTTTATGTGATTTATGATTTATGATTTACCTTAATCTATTTTGTATTAAATAGTTAGAGATCGTTTACTAAACACTTACTTGGTAAGTGCTTATTGGATAAATTTTCTTATCGGATGAACATGAGAAGGACCAAGAATCTTACTGGGTAAGAGCGATGAGAATGATGGAGAGTCTCATCTGGTAAATTAGGATGACAACTCTTACACATGTAATCGTTTACCCAGTAAATTGTTGCATTCGATATGTTTTGATGTACTAAAATCTTATGCATTAAAATAAATCATAGTGTTGACTCCCATCGGTAAGCTCTTACCTGGTAAGCAATTGGGTAAACGGCCCCTTAGTTTTAGTTATAAATTTCTTTATGTTGTATGGATATTCCATTTTGTTATGTAATTAATACGATACACTTATTTCATTTCATGTTGTTTATTGTTATATCTTTATATATATATATATATATATATATATATATATGAATCAAGAAAAATAACATGACATAATTTGCATCGAGAATTCCAAAATACTGAATTATGGTTAACTTTGTCTATCTCACATTGATAAAAATATTATATGTTGTATCGTATGAGAGATTATATAAGGAGAAAGATGTCAACTTATAAAAAAGTGATGTGTTGATACATAAAGGTGTTTAACTGCTTATATGAGGAAAATATCACCAACTATTTTTACACGAATGTTCATATATGATTATTTTAATCTGTTTTGGATTAAAAAGGCAATTTTAGTTTATAAATACAATTTTTCATCAGTAATGAATATTATATTTTGGTAAACATCTTTATGCATTTATATGAAAAACCAAGGAGAATGATACTGACATTAAGGATTTCAGTATTTTAATTTTTCAATTGTCATATTTGTTTGGGTATTCACATCAATGTCAAGATGATAATTTGATATAGCGAGGTAAGTATATACAAGAGTTGGATGCCTTACAAAAATTAAACTGTCTGCGGCAATATAAAAAGTTGGCTCTTTTAATCATAGGGGTGGTGTCTGATTGGTTTGAGCTTGACTCCAAAGCTCAAAAGTAACAGGAGGTCTCAGGTTCAAATCCAAGAAGGAATAAAAATCCCCTTGTGGCCATGAAGGTTCAAATGCGGTGACTCCGGGCTATCTGCAAAGCAGAGGGTCGTCCTGAAATTAGTCGGCTCGCATAGCGGGTTAGATATCCAGGTTAAAAAAAAAAGTTGGCTCTTTTTGGCGACTTACTTTTTACAAATAAAAGAAATAATTTTTTTCCTCAGTTTATGTTAGGAACGTAGGTTCACATTGAATGAACGAATGAAAGAGGTAAGAGAAACGCGGGTTATAAAGAAAATGTCAAAAATAGAATTATCAAATGTACAATAATTATTTTTACAATAATTGTCGCTTTTTATTTTTTTGCGAAGATCAAATGTACTATCTATATTTATAATACTATTTCCTAACAAAAAAATTATCGTCACAATGCAACACGAGATATAAAACACTGGTATCTTATAAAAAAATTATTAAAATGAATGTAACATTTATGGAAGTCTAAACTAAGCCATATAGTTGCACTACGAGCGAGGCTCGAGTAAGCGGCTAAACAGAAAACACAAAGGAAACATGATCAATAAATGATAAATGGCTCAAGTGCACAGATCGTACCCCGTCGTTAATTCTTTATTTCAGCTCACATCTTTTTCATTGGTTGTTTACCACCAAATAGTAAAATAACAATTAAAATAGTACATAAATAGCCCTTATACATTCGATATTTTCAATTTACCCCCTTGTTTTAGCTATACATTTTGAACGTCACAAATAGAAAACAACTAGTTTAGATAGAGGCGAAACACAAATGGACTAAATCAGTAAAAGAATTTTATACTTAAAACTTTAATGGACTGAATTTGATTCACTCTATCTAATAGAAAAAAGCCCAGGAGCCGAGGCCCCTAAAGGTCCTTATAACCATCCGCCCCGGAGTTTATAAATTAGAAGTGATAATTACAATATAAAATGAACATAAGGCAACATGAAATGCTGGTATGACAGATATGTACATATATTTTTTATTCTAATCATTCTATTTTATATTAACACACCATCTTATACAAATGCATAATCTACTCATGGTATTATGTTCATGTGTGTGTTTAATAATTGATCACATGTATATGATAAACATGCAAAGTGGTATGCTGCAAATTTATTATTGTAACTTGAAATTCTTTGTGTGTGTATATAAAAGTTATTTTGATAAATGATAAATATTTGAAAAGTAAAGAAGTGATCTTAATTGGATTTGACTGGTCAATAATTGCGACTTTGACTGGTCAAAAATTGCAACTAAGCGAAAAATATAGAGAGTAGTTTCGTAACTTTTACAAAAAGGCGGCAACATTTTCACATATGAACTATATGTTCATATGTGAACTCATGTAATTCACATATGAATTATTTTAACTAATTCGCATATGAACACATATGATTCAGATATCAACTAATTAATTGATCCATATATAAAATTGTGTGATTTACATATGAACTAATTAATTAATTCATACACGAACCCATAGTTTCATGTTCATATATGAATCAGTTAATTGGTTCACATATGAACTCGTTTGTTGTCTATTTGTAAAAGTTAAGAAATTATGCATCTATCTTCTGCATAATCATGTTAAGAATTATCCGGTGCTTCATAGTCAAAGTCGTAAATATTGACTAGATGAAGAGCTAAGGTCATTTTTTTATTTCTCAAATATTTATCACGTTTCAAATGAATTTTTGCATATATATATAGGGAGAGTTAAAACAAGAACACCCTTGTTTAACAAAAATACAAGAACATTTCTAGCCATACAAATTATCTAACACATAATTAAAATTAAAGAAAAGAAAGTAAACAGTTAAGGATAATAATTTGGTTTTGAATTTATTTGTAACTAATGTTCGACATCGTGCGTTGCACGGTAACCAAAACTCAATTTAAAAAAAAAAACGTAAAAGCTTCGACTCGAAAGGAAGTGTGATATGTTTAAAAACTCTGAACTGTATTTATATTTATAACGCCTCATCCAACACCGTGAATCACGATTTGGAGAATACTAACATCAGATGAAAACACGTCATTAAGTCAACGCTTTTCATTCTATGTATATATAAGTGATATAATAGATACTTAAACTACACTTATTATTATAAAACTACAATAATCACAACTCTTCTTAAGGAAAAAAATGTATCATTTGCATTAGTTTTACACAAAAAATTTACCAATTGGTTGGTTTGGTTTCAACCATTGTTATAGATTTCAAAGCTCCATCACGCTTTTATACATCCATCATCTTCTTATAGATTTCAAAGCTCCATCATGTTTTTATAC